CTTAAGAATCACTTCTTCAGCCTCGGCATCGGTATTTTCGGCAGCTGATTTGGCTAACTTATCTGCCAAAGTATTACCGTGATCCCCAGCATGGCCCTTAGTCCAAGCTAGCGTGATGTTATTTCCCACTTGATTACGAAGTTCACATTGGATGTCCGAGATAAGCGAAGAAGAATGTCTGGGGTTTTGAATCGCTTGAAGCGACGAAAGACTATCAGTGATAATTATTGCCTCCATAGCACCACTTGTTTTACAGTGTTGAACTGCTTTGAGGATGGCTAGGGCCTCCGCTTGAAATACACTATTATTTCCATGGAGATGACCCAGCCACTGATAAATTGACTGACCATTATGAAAGGCTACAAGGGCACAGCCTGTCTGTTGATCTATTTTAGATCCATCAGTGTAATATTGAATGCTTGGGATAGGTGGCAGTGTTACGTCCTTAAGGAAAATCCGAAGTCCTGTTCCTTGAAGGACTGGATGCACATCCAAATGTTGTGAGGGTTGTTCATAGTGCAATGGTGTGAAAAGTTCATCAAATAGGATGAAAGGTTTTTTCAAAACCTTGACGGATTGTATTGCTGCTTCCTGCAGAATACGTAGATGAAGAGGGATCAGTCCCGCCATGACATTTAATGCACTGGATGAGGTAGTACGAAACGCCCTAGTTATCTGTAAGGCAAATTGACGCTGGAGACTTTGCAAGTGGCGCACTTTGCGACCCTGCATGGGTTCAGCCCATATAGCAGCCGCATAGGTGACCATTCTCTCGATAACGGTGAGATAAAGAACCTTTTGTATATAGGGACTAATTCCCCATCCACGACCCTGCATTTGACGCAATTTACATGCAATTATAACAGTTCGTCTCTTTAGTTCCAAAACATGCGGCATCCAGTTCAGTTTCTCGTCAAAGATAACGCCGAGAAATTTGAGCTGCGGTTTGATAGGTATACGTGTACCATGAATGGTGATTCGAGGCCGTCGAACCAAAGATCCTCCTTTTTTAGGGATTAATAAAATTTGCGATTTTGGTTCGGAAATTGTTAATTTAATTCTAGAACATAAGTTATAAAAGAGATCACAGGTTTCAATAGCATTTCTTTGCAACTCTTCTCGAGTTCGTCCTTGAATGATAAAAACTGTATCATCTGCATACGCATATGCCCGGGTATGTGCTGGCCAGTTTGCGGCAATAACAGAATTAAATGTTATATTCCATAAATCAGGGCCAGCACAAGAACCCTGCGGACAGCCTCTGTTTTGTTGTCTTGTAATAATGCCATGATTAGTGGAGTAGATAATTTTTCTTTCCGACAAGTAACTTTGAAATGCAAGAAATAAATTCTGAGGACAATCAGCTTGTCGAAGTGCCTCCAGTATTGCAGGCCACCACAGTGAGTCAAAAGCATTCTTAAGATCTATACTGATGAAAGCACTGTGGTGACCATTGTTGCGATTACGATGTATATCTTCTGTAATTTTTGATAATACTTGTAGGGTAGACCTACCTGGTCTAAAGCCATATTGGTGATCACTTAAAAAGTGAATTTTGTGAAGATAATGTTTTAAACGGTAGACAATAATTCTTTCATAAACTTTCCCCAGAGCAGATAATAGACATATAGGTCGATAAGATGTGGATAATTGCGGATCTTTGCCTTTTTTGAGAAAAAGAACCACTCTTCCAGCTTTGAAGATACGAGGAAATACACCATTAAGAAATAACTTATTAAAATAATCACAGAAGAAGAAGATGTGGGAATTAATGATTACACGAATTATAGAATAGTCAATCCCGTCGGGGCCTGGGGCCCGTTTTTTTTGGAATACTTCGAAGAGTGGTTTTAATTTCTGTAATTGTAATCTGTGGATCATCCTCTGTGTTAGGAATAGAAGTTTGCTGCCTAATTGACAAGTGCTCTGGGGAGTCATCTGTAATATCATCCTGAGGAAGAACTGATGCTAGAATATCATTAATAGTATTTTCTATTGGGCTAGACCCAGCAAGTGATGATTCTGAAAGATACGTTGATGCAGGCTGGAAAAGCTTATCTCGAGCGATCTTATAGGGTAAGCCAAATATTTCTCTATTTGATGTGCAGTATTTTCTCCAAGCTTCTATTTTGCTCTGCATAATCATCCGTTTATACAGAGCACGCTCTCTTTGAAAAACTTGAAGAGTATTAGATGTTATTCCATTGCGTCGTTCAGATTTTAATCGTCGCCTAAGCGCACGACACTTCCGCTGCTGTATGCGAAGATCAGAGTTCCACCAATGTAAAGTATGGAGCTGCTTGGTAGTTCGCTTTGGAAGTATTTCGTGAAAATATCTTGAAGATTTTGTATTTCGTGACAAATATCTTGAAGATTTTGCATTAAGGACTCTGAAAAACGTTCAATATCTTCAGATATGGTTAAAGAGTTGATTTGGTGACGAAGACGACGATTAAGAGTTCCACGAACTTTTCGACTAAACTGATTAATTTTCCTGCCAGGAAGATTATAACGAGGTAAGATAGGTAAAGAACTATGTTGTGTTACTTCAAAAGTGATATATTTATGGTCAGATAATGAAATCTCATCTCTGACCGTCCAATTACTTGTTAAGTGAGAGGTATTGGCGGATGTAAAGGTCAGGTCCGGCCAACCCACAGCATATAGTCTGTCGAAAGTAGGAATTGTATTCGTGGCATTGAGTAATACATAATTTTTAGAAGATAAGAAGTCTTCTAACAGACGGCCTTTGGGGTCTGTTGTTCGATAGCCCCAAGCAACAGAGTGAGCGTTAAAATCGCCGCTGATAATCTGATGTTTATTACCAAGAACTCTTGTATAGTGTTCCAGGAAAGAGATTGTAGTGCTGATATCATCTGAGGGACTGGAGTAGATCGAAAATAATGCTATAGTAAAATTTTCTAATTCTAATAAAAGTGCTACTTGATCTTTAGTAATAGTAATAATTGATGGAGAGAATTGAGGGTTACAATTAATTATTGCTGAGCGTGGAGGATCTTCTGAATTTTCTTGATGATATACAGTCCATAATAAAGGAAAACCAACCACTTTGCCATGTCTAGTATATGGCTCTTGAACGAGAAGAAAAGAAAATCAATTTTGTTGCTTAACGCAAACTCTATTGCCTGGGCAGTTGCAACTTGAGCTTTCTGAAGATTAATTTGCAAGAATTTGATGTTAGGAACAGAATTACATGAAACATTATACTGGGCATCTCTACTCATAGGTGGTGATGCTTCGGATTCTGTCAATATTACTTTGGTAGCAGTAACAGGTGTTGGAGTTTGCTGCGTGGTCAATCGGGACTTGATATCTGCTGCCGTTGTTATAATCGATGCAATTGATGCATGCTGCTGTATCGGCATCGGCCGAACAGTCCTTGGTATCGTGTTGTCCAGCACACAATGCGCAATAGTGGACGCTGCGGCAGTCTTTTTGCAGGTGCCCAAAACGTTGGCACTTGAAACATCTTTTGACATTAAAGTGCTCAGTGATAAGGTGGCCTTGCCAGCCGATGTAGATGCGAGGGTTGCACATGAAGGTTTGATATGCCCTTGGGCTGCACTCGGCAACCCACTTGACATTGCGTCGCTGCTTTAGACGAAATATAAGTTTAACTTCGTCACTAGTGAGGCCAAAGTCTTCTTGTATGGTAAGCTGTAAATCCTCCTGTGTCAGATCTGGGGATAAATTATGAATTGCAATAAGGGGTTTTTTTGTTGTGGGATTCTTTACGTTAACAAATGTAGCTGCGTGATCAGACGTTAAAGTAGCTGCTAATTTTTTCCGATCTTCTTCCGACTGGCAGACCACCGCCAATCCACCCCGTTGGATAGGTTTGATCCGTTTAACTTGGACTCCAAGTTTCGGCAAAGGAAATTCCTGGGAAAGTTTATCTCTAAGCTTCCTGCTAGTTGTGTTCTCTTTTGGATATATTAGTAAAGTAGGTGTGTAAGAGCTGGCGGAAGGGATTGCTGTAATGCAGATGCGTAAGAGTGTCCAGGAGCTGGAGAAGGCAAAGCAGAGGGATTTGGAACTAAAGGAACTTGCTGCAGAGATGAAATAATAGGTGGGTTATGAATAACTTCACAGCAGACCACTGTTGATGTATTCACCTCAGCCTCAACTGTGGCTGGTTTCGGGATGTAATCCGGGCCCTGAAGAGCCAATTGCCGTAACGCATCCAATGAATGGAGCAATTTTTCTCGTGGTTCGAAAGGAAGTGTATACTTTCCTCCTCGATAGAGAGTTGCAATGGCACGAATATGATCGTATAACAAATTAACTTTGTCACTATAATTGTTATCAGTTGCAAGCAATGCAGTAGGATCAAAGTTGTCATTCACTGGGTCATCCGTAAACGAAACTGATTGTTGAGGCATAGCGATGCGTGAATATTACATAAGCTCACACTAGGTAATTAATTTCCCATAAGAAACAGACTGGTATAATATAATTACAAATGACGTTAATATGCTTTATATCAGTAAAACATAATGAATGTTCAATATAAACAGAGAAATAATATTTATTATATAAAATAATATATAATCAATCAAAAATATGTATACGATATGTAAAGGCACACAGAAAAGGCTCAGAATGATATAACACAGTTAAAATAACAGTAAACAGTCTTAAAAAACTATGGAGAATACACTGTAAGGAGTTTGTCGAAATTGCACTCGACGACGTGAAGGAGTTGTGTCGAAATTCACAACGTTTCGACAAAATCAAGTATCATGTTTAAACTAGTATTCCGAGCCCAATGAACAGACCCTTTGGTGTTACTAGCATATTTTATAAAGTTTCAGAGAGCAATCAGCAAATTAAGTTTATTTGGGTCCAGATTTTAACTAGGTTCCAGAAAAGGTTAGTCTTAAAATACTAATATCGAAGATAATGCAGTTATAGCCATATTGAAAATATAATATAATAGTATATGAAGAACTTACCAATTTGCCGAAAACCCGGTAATCCTAAGTGCATTAATTACGAAGATATTGATTTTTGAAAAGAAATCACAGATTTCTGGACTTAGAATTTTTTCGACGGACTTCCTAAGCCTAGTACGGCAACCACGTGGTGGCCGGGCGGCACCCTTCCGTTACAAGGACGGCATATGAGGTGAACAAAATTATTGAACACACTTTTTCACAAATGTTTTGAAAACTACGATGCACACATACTAATGCGATGTATCCTTGGATTCAGCTCACATTCACGCACAATTTGATTTATCACACGCACTTCGCACTGTGAAACTTCCACTTGAAAAATCGAAAAATAGCAGGAGCGCAACGCAGCGTGGTCTTCACAGGTCGACTGTCCAAACCGGCTTTTTTCGGACATAAGTGTACTTTGATGTTGTAAGAGATACTGAAAATGTTGTTCACCAAACAATTCGGTCCATACGAATACATTTCTTCGTATTTGCGCAAGTGGCCTGCAAGATATCATTGATATCATTGTTATTTCACATCTTGTCTTGTTTCTAGTGCTATTTCATGTCAAGTGTAGCTCGTTACCGTAAGTTTTGCGCTTCAGAGCGCAATGCAGGAAACCGGATTTAAGGCAAAAGATCTTTCAAAATAATCCAGCCATTAAAGAAAACTTTCAATCTCTAATCGATGTTCTGTTCATGTTAGGAATTCCCCCTTCCTCCTTTCCCAGTGTTCTGTATTCGTTTGAAGCAATTTAAATGCATATGCTTTCACAACGTAATAAATTTTAGCAATTTTTTAAGCTTAGTATGGAAAGAATCACATTGTATATCAGTGCGAATGAGTGTAGAAACTGAATAGAATACTTCGCACATCTGAAAACATTGTAAAATGAACAAAGGTTTAATTTATTTTTTTAATTATTTAATTTATAAAACGAGATTTAATTTATCGTAGTCAAATGTATGAGTTCTAGGTAAAAATAAAAAGATTCTAAATCTTGAACTTGTTGAAATTCTAAATGTTGAATGAAGTGATTCTTTTAACGTTCGCAAAGACAAATTCTAAAATATATTACTTAATCTTTTTATCTGAAATAGGTAGGATAACCATTTATATACATATTTATATACCATTTATATATATACACACACACATATATATACACTCTTTTGAAAAAAATAGAAGCACTAAGAAGGACTTTTGCGATCGTGACGAAATTTGGTATGCAAAAACATCTTGATCGAACATGCAATTGATCAAAGTTTCAAGGCAAATGAACAGAAATTGAGATGATAGAGCGCAATTCGCAAAGTACAAAACCGGGAACAGAGGCGGAAAATTTCTCTCTCTCTTTTTTTTTTTTTTTTTGTTTGCTGCCTTGTGATTCCGTAAAGAAGCAACTAAAGATGCCATTACGACGATATCGAAGACATTATAGACAACTAAACGACAACTAACGAACGGTCGCAGTGTAGGTTTGCGTGAAGCTGGGTGGTCATACCGAACAATAACCGTCACCTGCAGTGTACAGACACTGCTGTGCAAAGATGTTGACAGCAACGGTTGCTACAAGGAAATTGCCGACGAAATGAAAGCTCTGGAAGGCCAAGGAGCACAAATGCGAGGCAAGATAGGATTATTGTTCGCCAGGCCCGAACCGCCCCAACGGGATCATTGTCGACTATTCAACGCACTACAGCCCCGTCTATACCTCCCGTGGTACCGTCCACCATCTCACGGCGCTTGTCTGAGGCGGTGTTACGCTCACAGAGACCTTTAAGACGTTTGCATTTGACCCCACAACATCGGTGGAGTCGTTTGGAATGGTGTCGCAGCCGATCATAATGGCTGCTATCAGACTGGCATCGTATAGTGTTCAGCAATGAATCCCGCTTCACGTTTGAAGCAGATGACCACCGTGTTTGCGTATGGAGAGGACGGGACAGCGGTCCCAATAAGCATTTGTTATACAAAGGCATACAGCCTTAACCCCTGGTGTGATGGTGTGGGGCGCTATTTCTTATGACAGCAGGTCATCTTTAGTCATCCTCCGTACATCTTTACCAGCTCAACGATATGTTGATACCATCGTGCGGCTGGTTGCATTACCCTTCATGGCACGCCATCCTGGGGCCATTTTCCAACAAGATAATTCCAGGCCACATACTGCTCGCATATCTCTGGACTGTCTCCGTGCGGTTGATACTCTTCCTTAGCCAGCAAGGTCAACAGACCTTTCACCAATCGAGCAAGTCTGTGGCATGGTAGGCCGCCAGAGTCGGGCACTACAAAATATCGCAGATCTGGAGTGACAACTGATGAATTGCCTGGCAGAATGTATCGCAGGATGACATTAGGAACCTCTACCACTCCTTGCTTCGACGAATTCAAGCATGCATTGCCGCCAGGGGCGGTTCAACCAACTACTAATTTGAACACTCAATGGGTGATTGTGAGCCGGGAATAGTATGGTAGGCCGCCAGAGTCGGGCAATAGGCATGGGGGGTTCGACCAACTACTAATTTGAACACTCAATGGGTGATTGTGAGCCGTGAATAGTATGGCAGGCCGCCAGAGTCGGGCATGGTATGGTAGGCCGCCAGAGTCGGGCACCACAAAATATCGCAGATCTGGAGCGACAACTGATGAATTGCCTGGCAGAATGTATCGCAGGATGACATTAGGAACCTCTACCACTCCTTGCTTCGACGAATTCAAGCCTGCATTGCCGCCAGGGGCGGTTCGACCAACTACTAATTTGAACACTCAATGGGTGATTGTGAGCCGTGAATAGGTACTATGACCTTGATTTTTTAATTATTTTATTTTCTGTGTACGAGCTATACACATATTCAATTTCATTAAAAACAACCACTTCCTTCATGATGCTTCGATTTGTTTTTCAAAAGGCTGTATATATATAAAGCACAGCTATTAACGTAATAAAATCACAAAAAAAAAAAAAATATTGATAATCGGTTTATTTTGCTCCAGATATCAAATGCGAATTCTAACTGCAATTTAGATGATATCTAAGTTTAGTTCAGAATTACAAATTCAAAAAAATTTAAAATAAAGATAATGTTTGTAGCAAAAGTCTAAAGGAATTTTAGATGTTTACGACATTTCATGATAAATATCTAACATACTGTTACGAATTTGGTATTTAAAAAGCTAATGTTAGTTCAATTATAAATTAAATGGTTTTATTTCCCGCGCAGTGCAGCGCGTGACGAATATTAAAAGAAAGCTAAGCCGGAAAAATTGAAAATACAAGAGCACGTGCATTTAACATTAAATAAATAAATATGTCTTTTTGATTTCGAGAAAGTACCAGAAAATTCTCGCACGCGATTTAAAAATCTTATAAAAGGAGGAAAACCTCTCAGTTCGTGATTGGTGGTGATATAAATATGTAAATAGTGTACATATGAAGTTGTGCTTTGTGCTCTATCTAACCTTATTTAACCAAGTACTGTGTTACTGCCAAAATTGGCTATTTGCCTGGAAGCACGCTAGAGACTCTGAATTAATTAATATGTGTTAAGGACTGTGTATTGTGTGATCTCACCACGCCCACTGCTGTGGTTCTACTCCTGATTACCTGCTGGACTGCGCACCCTACTTCAGTAACCTTACGCTACTATCCTGACCGAATGCATCATGCATGGACTTGAATGCTGGATGATTTTGTTTTCCAAGTATTAATTTCCCAATTTTCGTATATTCAGCTTGACTTCGCCACGGAATGATTGCACCTTGTTCTAATGTCATGCCCCCGGGCGAGGTGCAGTAGCACCTTAATGTACTAAAAACCGTGAATGGCCTTCATAGGCTGCACAGATTGAACAGGTCAAAACTCAAAGTAGTTGTATACCTGCGGTGAATCAGAAATAAATAAATAAATTACTTCGTGATAGTTGCTTAGTTATGATTGTTTGTTTAGAAAACTGGTGTTGTTTACCGTAGCGAAATTCGCAGGGAAATCGGACTATGCTTTCTCTAGCTGTTTGAAATACGTTCTATTGGAACGTTTCTAGTAGTTTAAAAGATAGCTACTGTGAGATATTGGGATACTTGTGAGAATATCTGAGGAAATTTAAGCATTTTGTTTTATTGGTTGTGATAATAATACATTTTTATTCATTTTTCATCGGACTTGTGCATTCATTTCATAACGAACCCGTACGCACGCAACAATACATTTAATCGAAATTGTATATTATGGACTATTCATTTCATTTTGCTATTTTTCGTAAAGTCCACAAAAGAAAATGCAGTTTTAAAAACTGTTAATGGTAAGGCAGTTAAAATTAATTAAACTATCAAACTACTAATTCAAAAGCAAAGTAAAAATTGTGATATGTCCAGCACATGAGTTCCCGCAATTATGTGTTTTAAATAGCAACGAGCACTAAGTAAAATATCATTCCTGATTAATCATTTGTAAATACAATCTAATTTATTATTCCAATAAATATGAAATTTTGAATTACATTTTATGAGATATAATTGACGATATTCAAAAACTGGCTTTTCTAAATTTATATCAACATAATGAAATGTTTGGTCTTTTATTTTCTAATTAAAATTGCATTTTTTGGGGCAATTCAATTAACTAATTAATACTTTAATAAATATTTATGAAAATGATAGATAAGATGCTTATAAATTAAGCGTGTTTTAAATTAAACCAGTTAGAAGCTCAAAAAAATTAAACAAAGAAGTGCCTTTATTGCTTTTAAATCACTCATTGTTAGCAATGTATAATAGTTATCATCTGAAAAATAAATCAAATGTCTTTTGCTAAATTGAATGCCAAATCTTAGGAAACTGACCAGTACCTAACATATGGTAACGTCAGATGATACCATAAATAATGTAATCACCATAAAATTTAGAAAAATTCTATTAAAGGCATTTCTAATATTTAAACTAAAATAAAGATTTAAGTAATTAAAAAGTGAATTGAATTTATTCTTTTAATCTGATTTAATCTACTAAACAGTTTTCAACATAACCTAAAGCTCCAATATCACGACAAATGCCGACATTTTCGACGATGGTAATTTGCCAAGATGGAGGGAAGATAAAATTAAATATCTTAAGTGCACGTACGGGCAAAATTTGCTATGTCATGTTGATGATAAGTGTATGGTAGCGTAATGTAACATAATGGTTTAAAAATTTTTTCAAAGACTTTACTGAAAACATTTCTAATAGCAGAACTCGCACCTGATATGTAATTATTAGAGACTAGATTTACACTCAAAAGCTGACGTATGCTTGTGACTATGTAGTATGAAAAGTTCGAGTCCATCTAAAAAATTCGCTTTGAAGAAGCATCTGTTTATGCATTCAATATCTGTTATTTAGACTAGTAAATTGAAAGACTCTTATTATGTGGTTTCAAACAATTTTTATATACTGAATACCGGTATATAAATTATGTCGTTAGAAAATTCTTCTCATAATTCTAGTAATGGTACAAAGATTTATTAAAATTATCAATTTAATGTATTATAAATCACATAAATTAGATGTATTGTAAATTGCATCAATTAGAGATATTATTAGAAAGTA